ATGCCTTTGAATTGTGGTGCTAGAGGAGACTCCTGTGAGTCCCTTGGACCTCAAGGCGAACAAACTGGTCAGTCCTAGAGGAGATCAGCCCTGACTCTTCTTTAGAAGGCCAGATCCTGAAGATGAAACTCCAAGACTTTGGCCACCTAATGAGAAGGAAGGACTCCCTGGAGAAGACCCTGATGCTGGGAACAACAGATGGGAAAAGAAGAAGGGGATGGCAGAGGATGAGGTGGCTGGATGGAGTCACTGGGGCAGTGGTCCTGAGCTTAGGTGGACTCTGGGGGATGGTGGAGGACAGGAAGGCCTGGAGGAATGTTGCCCATGGGGTCACTGTGGGTCCGGACTTTCTGACTAACAACAACAGTGGCAAATAAATATGTGCATGCATAAAGAGGTAAATATATAAATATGCAGCTCTAAATGTGCAGTTGCAGCCAAAGGGAAATCCTAACTCTTTGTTCTCCAGGACTTTGTTTCCCTGCCACTGGGTGAAGTGAGGAGGCTGCCTCAGGCAGCAGAAGCTGGGTGGGGGGTGGGGGGAGGCGGGGAGAAGGACTCTTGGTTGAAGGAGGGCGCCAGAAGCCACACTGCCTGCGCTGCACCCCCAAAGCGATCCTCCTCCTTCATCAGCAGTGGTGGACACAGTTTCCCTGCTCCCACTGAAGAAATAGTCTGCAGCCCATTTGTTTGGCTTTTGCACATGGAACAGGAGGTGCACCTTCTTGCTGCCAGAGATCAAAACGGCTCAGATTATCCCTGTGCCAAACCTTCTGGATTCTGGTCAGCAAAACTGAGGGAGAGCCCCCCCCCCCCCCCGCACTTGCTCTCCCCCACCCTTGCATCCTAAGGGGAGTTTTGCTCACACCAGCCCGGGAGGTGTGGCAAGCTGGGCCTGAGATGCTCCAGCAGTGAATGCATGCCCTGAGCACCCGAATATGGTGATTCGCCAAGCTGGATGCACCTAAATTGCACACTAGATGTGTTGGACTACAAATCCCATAGATGCTGGCTGCAGTTATGAGAGTTGTAATTTGCTTCATCTATTATTGGGGGAGGTTGGAAAATATATCAGGCAACCTGGAATAGCCCCAAGCATGGACTTCCCATGGGGATTATTTTGGAAAACATCTGGAAGGCCCAAGTTGTGCACTTCCGTGCTGTCAAGGGTCGGAGGCTTGCCACCGGCCGTAAGAGCGTCAAGTTGCAGTAGGCTGGATTTTGGGAATTTTAACTGCACTCCATTTGCCTTTGGCCCAAACTGCCACTGGAATCAGGCCTCCAAGACCTTCTCCAGCAGGGAATCCATCCCTTGGGCTGAAAGGGATTCCACACCTCTGCTTGAGGTGGAAAGGACCATGTTGGTGCGCTGCAGATGCGCCATGCGGACTGGGAAGGAAAGGGAAAGACTCCTTCGGCATTTCTTGCAAGCCCAGGGATGGGGACTTTGTTCGCCTGCTTGTTATATTTATACCCACCCTCTTAGTTAGTGACTTTCCAAATTTGGACATAATTTCCATCATCCTGGACCACTGGCCATGCTAGCTGGGGCTGATGGGAACTCAGCAAGATCTATGGTTATTGCACACATTTATACTTTGCTTTTTTTCCTCTTGGGAAGGACCCTTGTCAGCCTGTGCAGCTCCATTTTCCTCTGACGACAACAACCCCGTGAGGTCAAGAGCGAGTGGCTGGCCTGAGTCGCCCAGTGAGCTTCACGGCCAAGCGGGATCTGAAACCTGGAGCATCCACATCCCAGTCCAAGTCACATGAGCCATCACACCACAAAGGTGCTCTGCAGGCAAAATCTACTGGGCATCGCTAACCACTGGGAAACACTGTCTCTGGCTGGGCTGATGCAACATGTCTCCCTGTCATTATTGGATCTATCCATTTGCCCATCGCTCAATCTGTGAAGCATCTCTATTGCCCAATCCGACCCGGGGGCTGATTGGACAACCCACGGCTATGCAAGAAGGCTCCTGGCAAGGCCTCAGCACACACGTGCTACTCTTTGCAAGGAGCAAATGGGTGAGAAAGTGGGAGAGATCCGGGCGGTGTCTTAACACACACCTCCACTGGAGTCCCGGGGTCCCCACCCATGCCACACACAGTGCTTTGGCTTCTGTGATGGCATGAAGCAAAACTGGTTGTTGGATCACGCCATCAGCCGCCTCTGGGAAGTCCCTTGCAGGTTGTGGAGCCGATCAGCACACACGGAAGAAACACACGGGGAAGCATCGCCTGGAGGAAAGGCAGGTGGTGCCAGCTGCGGTGCATGGGCTGTTGCCTGTTTATGCAAAGGGCTTCGTAGCAAATGGGGAGCAAAACCTTCTGGTGGAGTCCCTGCTGGCTGAAGAGCATCCAGGGAGCTCTGTGGAATTAGAACAAGGTCCTGCTTGGCTTGGTCCTGCCCAGGAACAGGATATCCTGTTCCTGCGGGGGCCCACCAGCTGTCCCTGGGGAAGCATGCCATGAACCGGTTATGGCCTGCTCACATCCCCAGTGACTGATAATCAAGGCAGGTGATCTACTCAGCAATCCTCAGGATTAGTAGCCATGGAAAGCTGATCCTCCATTATTTCCTCAAATCCCTGCTAAAAACCGGTCACTGTGACCTGCAAAATCATGTTCCAGTTTCATGGTAATGTACCATCACCTGCCTTTTATTTCATCCCCTGCCTTTTATCTCTCCAGAATATGCCATTGTGTTGACTCACCTTGGCCATGGGGTCCTAATAGGGTAAGATTTCTTTCATCCATCATCCAACTGCGTTTGTGCAATTTCCTGTCCAAGTCTCTGGGACAAATTAAATCTCCAAACTATAGTCCAGGGGACTCTTTTTTCCCCTATTAAATGCTTATTCCCTTAACACCTGGCTGAAGGTGCAGTGCTGCAGAAATGGACTACTTTCTGGCCCTGTGCAGGAAGTGGCATCCTGGCTCCCGCATTGCTTACTCCATACATTAGTAAAAAATAAAACTTTCGTAAAACTTTAGTAAACTTTAGTAAAAATATAACTTCTTCACTGTTGCATGACCCTCAATTGGCTACGAAACCCATCTCTGTACACAGACAATGCTGTGCTCTTATCTTGAACAAAAGTGGGCTTCAGACCGTTGAGGGCCTTTTCCAGGTACTGCCACAAAGAACACCTGGCTCTTAATTGTGACAGCTCTCCAGAGTCCACAGTTGATCTATGGGGAAAAATGCCAGTCAAACAAGGCAGTCTGGAGTATTTCTGAGTGGTTTTTCACTGGTCAGCCCATCAGAAAGGTGCTTCAGCTGCTCTTAACTCCTGTGGCATGTTTTTTTGCTTTTGTTTTTGCTTTGATCTTGCAGGGCTCTGATGAGAGGACAAAAAGGGTTTTCAAGTTTATCTCTGCAGCACTTAATAAAGTTAGGAGTCAGCAAAGAAAAAGCCTTAAAGAGTATTTATATGATACTGAACAACAAAAAAATCTGTCCGTTGTGTGGTTATTTTCCACCGAGGTCCTTAAATCATATTTGCAAAAATTAATAGCTCTAAAGGATACATGAACTTTTATATACACAGGACTGAAAAGCTGGACTTTGAAGTCAATTTTTTAAAATTACTTCAGAAAATAGGTTATAGCCTTGTAGAAATAGCAGCATTGAAGCGCATGTATTATTGTTTGGTAAATTCTGTCCAGATCCAAGGACTTAGGGGATTATGGTTACCTAGTACAACGTGTTTCTACCTACGTGTCCGTTCTTTTAGCAAATCAAAACAAGCAGGTCACAATGAACAGGTCACAATGAAAACTTCAAGGTTCGTATCTGGCATTTTTAAAATAACACCAACTTGTGTTTCTGAGCTCTAGCTTCTATAATTTCTGAGAGACTAGGTATAATGGATCATCTGATGAATTTGATACCAGTATGAAAAACAAAGCATTGAGTGTTTTAAGGTTATTTTAGCTTAGCACATTTTTGTTCTTATTTCTGCACCTTTGTATTTTATGTGCGAAGGACTATGGCTGATAGAAATAAAAATGGATGGGTTGGTTGCAGTGTTTTCTCAGTTTTCACTGCCTCCACCCCATGGCATCACTTTACCGACCTTTATCACACCTTGAGATGTGTCAAAACATACAAGTCCTTCCAACTGTGGTTACACCAAGCATGGATTTGTTTAAAGGCATATTGGCAGTTCGGTTTCCAGTTCCTTTCCTAATTATGCCTAACATAATTTGCTTTTTCCCCAGAAGTTCTTTGGTGGGCTCATGTTTTCATCAAGCTTCCTCCACCGCACCAGGATCCTTCCAGCTCGCCCCCAGAGTACATATGCTATGCACAGAGACAGTTCATGAGTATTTTTGCCCAATTAGCAATATTACCTTGCATTCTTTGAGGGTGGAGATCAATGAGACCTGGGGAGTTATTAGGTTTCAATCTGACCATAAGGTGAGGGTGGGCAACTTGTGGTCATCCTAATGTTTTGGGCTGCAAGTCCACGTGCCTCCCCATTGGTGAAGGAAATTCTAGGCTTGGGATGGAGAAACCGTAGCTATGCTGGCAAAAGCTGATGAGATTTGTGGGCCAACATCTGGAGATCCATGGTTGTCCACCCCTGGCCTAGACTTTTATCAGCTCAGATTCTCCTCCTGAAGTTACACATTTGGGTATCTGGCTCACAGCTCCTGCAGCTTTGTGGTGACACACACAAAGGATTTGTTCCGCTTCTCAGCTTCTTCCTGTTCCTTGAACTCCCATGTTACCATGTAGCCTGACTGCCTCTCTAGCTGGCTGCCTTAATTCTGGTAGATTTCCACATTCTTTCTTCTTGGCCCTGAGGTTGTTAGCAACATGCTTCCTGCAAAATCCATTTTTGCCTCCCTTATTGTCTCCTTGCATTTCCATCGTGCAACTTTGATTTCCGTTTTGTTCTCCTCACTTGGAGAAGGCTTTTGTTTTCTGCAGGAACCTTCTTCTCTCTGACAGCAACCCTTTTTGCCAGCCTCATGGCATCTAGGGCTCAGAGCTCCCTTTCCAAACCTTTGTCTATGCTCAAGCTGAGTTTCTGTTAAAGAAGTTTTGGGTGTCAAGTGTTCCAGAGAGATTCGACTTTCTTGACTGCCCCCTTCAGCGTCCTTTTACCAGTCACCTCAATATTGAGAAGTTCTCTTTTGAAGTCCAGTGCAATGGTGTTGAATTTCCTTGGCAATTTCCCATTGTTGGATCCACTAGCATTGTTTTTCCTGCTTCCAACCAATCTAGCAATATTTGCACCCCATGTTATGCTGCAACACCAAGGGCTAAGTTAAGTCTTCATGGGTTATTTTCATGACCTGCTCTTCTATGGCAAACTCCTTCATGCTGCTGGCAAAAGCCCCCAGACCGTACATTCATCTCATCCCACTTTCCTAACCGTGTCCTCCAGAAGTCTTGGCTAGGAATTCCATCATTCCCAAGCAGCATGGCCATACTGGGTGGGGCTGACGGAAGCTCGAGCATCACATCTGGAAGGCATTACTGCAACACCTTCCCCTGATTTTATTCTCTGAGTCTGAACGGATGGCCTCCTGGCAT